TATATATATATATATATTATCTACTATTAACTTACTTTTGTGTTCGTTTTGTTTCCGTTTTTAGTTCGGTTTTCTTATTTCGTGTGTTTAGGGCATTGCTTGCTCTTTGAGCCTAATTTTTGGAATTCAGCAGTAATAATAATTTGGCGCCTGCTAAAAATCAATTCAAAGCGAGCAAATCCTGTTTCTTTTTTTTGTTGAAATAATTATAAATTTTCTAAAATTATTTTAATTATCAAACTTTTTAATTTCAAACTTTAAATTAGTCTGTTTAATATTATTACTTTGCGCTCATCCATTTTCGGGCCCATCCTAGGTAACTAACAAATTAGACGCACTTCAGTATTGTAGTAAGAACGTGCCATAAGATATCACTTTATTTATGCTTCTGTATTCATATTTTGTAGTCTGGCAATCTTATTACGAAAATATTTTGAATCATTCTTGAAAGATTCCGGTACGCGTAAGTTCATTTTAATTCGCTCCTAACTATGTAGATTTTCTTTCGTGTACTGTTCCTTAATCTCTTTACATTTTATTTTCTGTTTTTTGCTTGATATATTTGTCTGTTTTTTTCGTATATATTTTTTACTTAATGTGTTCTAATTTCGTTTAAATTTTTTTGAGTGCTCCTCACACTATTGTATTGATATATTTTGCTTTGGCTATATTAATACATTATTAGAAAGCACTCCTTATTGCGGATATAATCGTGGGGGCTGATGACGAGGTTATATCTTTTCTTTGTTTTGTTTCCCGGATTTTTTTTTTTTTTTTTTTAAGTTTTCGAATATTATATTTTTTTAAAAATACTTTTGAAAATTTTGTTTAATTATTTTCTTCTCTTGTCATTACTTTATAATTTTCATTATTTTCCATATTTTCTCAAAATTTTAGCTTATTTTATGAGTTCTATATACTTGCAGCTTACGCGCAGTTAATAAAACTTAATAATTTTCTTCGTTTTTCTCTTTGTTTTTATTTTGCTATATATATATATATATTTATAAATCAAGCAAAAATCAGAAAATGAAACAAAATGAGTTCTACAAAGCGAATTAGCGAATTCAAATGGACTTGCACGTACCGGAATGTTTCAAGAATGATTTAAAATATTTTCCTAATAAGATTGCCAGATTCCAAAATATGAAAAGAGAAACGAAAATGAATGGAGTTAGAAGCGCAAATAAATGTTTTTTTTATGGCGTGTTCTTACAGCAGTATTGAAGCACGCTTGATTTGTTAGTTACCAAGGTTTCGCCTGAAAATGGATGTGCGCAAGGTAATAATATTATACTGGATAGTTTAAAGTTTCTAATTAGAAAGGTTGCTAGTTAATTATACAATTTAAGGATTAATATTTATGCTATGAAAAATGAAATATATATATTTTTTAAATCTGTAGAATGTACGGTGAAAGAAAAGGGGACAAAAAAGACAAAAACCAGCTTGGTAAGCTGATGCAGCTTTGATGTGTTTATAACGATATCTTTTTAACTTTTTTTTTACTTTCAAAGTGAAATATCTTTTGATGTTTTCAGCTTTTCCCTCTTGAGTGGCGATTTTATAAGATTTCGAAATCGTTTTAGTATTTTCCTCCCTAAAACATTAACGCGTTCCCTAATGTGACTAATTTTTGGACTTCAATTTCGTCAAGAATTATAAAATATTTGTTTAAGTCGATAATCTCCGAACACCCTATCTACATATTTTTTAATTTCAATATGATTTGGTGACTGTATTATACATGGACTAAATAGCACCTACAAAAAATCTCGCTACTTTAAAATTTAAATAGGAAAAAAGAATTATATATTGTGTTGGATGTTGGAAAAAAAAGTTCAAAAAATTGTTGGAAAAAATTCTGAAGTTCCTTTACTACTGAGTAGAATTAAACAAAATGTAGACATAAATGTTGTTTTTTTTAAAATCTAATTTTTTGATAGATTTTTATTACCGGTTTTAAAAAGCTAGATGAACGAAAAATAGCATAATACCAAATATTATAAAATATTATATCAACTTTTCACTCTCCATATTTTGCTTTTTGCGAACAGAAAACTAACGAAGTTGGAAACACAATTAACATGAATTTCTGCAAATCCTATCAGACTTCTAATACAATCCATTAAAAAACATAGCTAACCAAAATAATTTTTAAATAATGAAATTTATCTAAAAAAAAAGTGCAGAATAAATTTTAGAAGAAAATTATAAATTTTTTATCGACACATTTTTGAATCTCTAGCAAATTGTAATTATGTACATTACAACATTTTCCCTAAACATCATTTATTTCTAGACTGACATGATTGCGTTCTTTTCAAGAGTTTTCAACAATGGTTAAGGACGCATTTTTTAATTCCCTCATTTAAGACATTGGTGATTTTTTAAGTTATTTTTTTGACGCTTTGGGTCTAAGCCCCCTGATTGCTGTGGCTCAACAACCCCGATAATTGCTTCGCAATAATTGCTGTTTCTTGGCATAAAACTGTTAAAATTATTCAACTAAAAATATATGTACAGTAGGGAACCGATTATTCGGAACGGTCGGGACAATCGCTATTCAGGATAACTGATTTTTCCGGTTTTCTGAATCGCTACAAAAAGCTGTTTTTTTTTTTGTTAAACACAACAACAAAAAAATATATTTGGAAATAAGCTTAAAAATAAGAAAAAAAGATGAAGTAATACACTTATGATTATTTTCAAAATGATAATAAGGCAAACATCTTTAAAAAAAGAAAGAAAAATCGTAAAATCTTATGAGGAAAAAAAAATTAAAAAAAAAAAAATGGCGAGAAAATTTATCGAATTTCGTTCCGGTTTTTTGGTTTTCCGGTTTTCTGATTTCTGTACTGTACTAAAAAGAACACTTGTGCCTCCACTTTCATTATCCAAATATTTCCCTTATGAATCCCTATTAAGATCTGTTGTTGTTGTTGTTACTTTACGTCGCACTAGAGCTGCACAATGGGCTATTGGCGACGGTCTGGGAAACATCCCGGAGGATGATCCGAAGACATGCCATCACAATTTTGATCCTCTGCGGAAGGGATGGCACCCCCGCTTCGCTATTAAGATCTATAAGTGAACATAAATAATTTTCCTAATTAATCAGTTTTTGAAATAACATTTAATATTAAAAGTGTAGTGTAATAAAAAACTTATTGAGTTCACAACTGTAATTTAATATTTCTGCTTGTCAAGCGGACGAATGTATTTCAAATACAATTTTTGCATTCGTCACTTTGTGCACGAAGCTGAAAATTAAGTTCTAAATAATTTAACAAAACATTTAACCGTATAACAGTATATAATAGTATATAATAGTGAAAGCTGGATTATACCATGTGACTTTTTAGCCATTAAAAAATGTATAGTCAACCATGGAAAACTGCGACACCATCATTACATTTTAACATATAATAAGATAAAAACATGACTTAAATACTTTCTTGATAAAGAATTGCAGCGGCATGGTAATACACGAACATTTGTGGCCACTTTCAGTCCTCCAAGCCATATATATTACATTACCAGAGAATCAGAGACAACAAATCCAAATGATGTTTCTTGTACTAACTTTCTAGTATTAAATAAAACAAAATACGGTATTTTATCTTGAGTTTAGATGCAGCGTTGGAAACCATCCTATAAAAATAATCTTACTGCACGAATGAGAATTTATCATATCATCGAGTTCAAAACAGAATTTCCTCTTTTAGTAGCAAATGTCTGATTTCGATTGCAGCTGAAGAAATTTTTATTTTTTAGATTGTAATTGAAGGTATTAGAGGTTCCAACTACATTGGTGACACAGCTATTGATGACGTATATCTGTCTACCACACCTTGTGACGAAATTGGAAACTCAACTGATCACATATCTTGTAAGTAGTTCAGAGAGACAATTCTTGTAAATTATTTGTATAAGTGAATCTCTTGAAAATTGGATTTTCTTGGAATATCTTTCACCAAAGACAATAACGCAAGCAAAATCACAGTATGAGTAGCTCAGCAAGCATTAAATTTCAAACTGCATATTCAAATTTCAAACTTTGATTTTAAATCAGACAAATAGCTTAATTACTTTCTTGTTTAAAACTTAGTTTGGAAAGACATGCCCCACACGTCAAGTTGTTATTATTTTAAAATCAACAGCACGACCGGATTTTCGGGATGTAGAAAATCCTCAGCGGCCATGTCGTATGATTATGCGGCATGTAAAAGATCCCTGGAGTGCCTGATTGGCTCTTGGCATTTCCGGCAAAATTAAATTCCTAGTGCACTTTAGCATCCAAATAGCGTCTCGGTGCTGCCATCTAGTGTGGCAGAAACTAGACGTCCAAATTAACATGACCAACGGTATCTCACCCATTGTGGTGGTCCTGAAAGAGTGGATACCACCTCTGGAGAACGCACTAGGTCTGCTCATCGACAAGACCGATTGTGCAGCTCATTAAAAATAAAAAAAATTAAAAAAAAAAACGGCGACGTGCTGTATTTTTCAATAAATATGCGTCTTTGAAATAAAGAATCATGAATTATGAGCCCAAAACGTGACGCTTAGTAATTTTTCAAAAGTTAGATAAAATTAGATCATAAACACTTTAAAAAAAATGAAAACAGTGGCCTTTCTAGACATTTTTAGCTGTCTTCAGAATTGGGTACCTGCACTTCAAGAAGAAGACCTCCCTTACCCACACATATGACCTATGACGTCATGCGCCAGCTAATCTTTATTAGCAGATGCCATATTAAAGTTAAGCTAAGTTTCTCTTCATAAGTTAGAATGTTAATTAACGATAAGTTAATTAACGATACGTTAATTAACGATAAGTTAATTAACGATAAGTTAATTAACGATAAGTTAATTAACGATAAGTTAATTAAATACAGAGCAGTATCGCATATCGAATTAGTAGAAAGATAATTCTTTCTCATCTACTTCTTTTATTTAACTTAGATTTATTATTTGTTCACGTATTTTATCGTAACCATGATATATTTTTGTTTTGTGCACCTGGCAACTTCGATGCATAACTAGTTTGTTTATGCTCCCCATGGTTTCATGCCTGTCTTTGTGTTAAGTAGACTCTGCGCAAATATATGTCTTTGAGCAAGAATCTTCGCGAAATAATTTAGAATGTGTCACTTACGAGATTTGATACTTGACGGGATTGGCTTACTCGAAATAGAATGGGAAGAACTTTTGCTACAAAATAAATGTCACGTTTCAACAGCCAATCAGGATCGAAATACCCTCACTACGTCACTTGCAGGTATCCTATTGGCATAGGGGTTAGAGAGGGACAGAACCCAACCTAAAAGTCATGAATACATGTCATAAATTTATGACAGCTATAAAACTAGCCTACTGCTCACTAAAAAGTGTTCTGTATGTGACAATGGAGCTTTCGAAGAAAAGGTGGAAAAGAGTGAATTACAAGGCGTATCCGGGAACTAAGTACCATTTCGTAAAAAAAACGAGGATAAAAAATGTTTTTTTCTCCTTTCAAACTAAATTTTATTTAAGATGAAAGAGCATTCCGAAAACTATTTTTCGATATACTTATAGCCAATGTTCAATCATTTGTCATAGCGGGAAACCGACATTACTTTCTTCAAAGAAAGATGCGGAACTGAATGTTTTGATTCTCATCATCCTGTCAATTCGCTTTTCTCCAAAATCACGCTTCGAGTTCATGAACAAGTGGCAGTCTGAAGGGCCAGGGTTCGGCCTGTATGGTGGTTGAGAGAAGTTCTCCCAACCAAATTGTTTAAAATGGTTTTGAATGACACCAGTAGAATAAGGGTGTGGTTCGTCTCGTTCATCATTGAACTGTCGATTCCACTTTCTTAACATTCCATCAATCATTACCTTTTCACTATAAATATCAGCGATTGGATGAAAAATTTCAAGTGTCTTAACATTCTTTGCTTTCAGAAACAGTTAAGTAGAACGCAGTTCACAATCAGTGGAATCGGTAATTGTATTTTGTTTTCAAATATTGGGAGAGGCTTGCCTTCGTGGAGGACTTTTTCGATGGAACTAACCCACATTTGCGTTACTTGGAGAAGAAACCTCTCACAGTTAGCTTGCCGGCAAGGGAACTCTAACCCATGATCCGTCTATCACTGAGAATGTTTTACGTCAGCACTGTTGATTTGAACCCGGTTCACCTCATTGGAAGGTGAATACTCTAACCCGTATGTCAGCACGGCTCCCAGCAACTGCATTAAATTTTTGAACTTTTACTAATAAATGTAAACACAACACAATCTGGCTGTGATGGTGTCGGTGGACAGACGATCAACTAGAGACGTGTGTGAGCATGCGCGGAACAGTAATACTGCCGCTGCTGTGGCTGCAAAACAACTTACTTTCTGGGCATGTCTTGTATTTCTTATATTTTTTGTGTTCTGACAAGCAAATTTCTAACAGATAAAAAATTCCAAACTTCTAGCGAGAAAAAACAATACATTTGCAACAAATGAAAAACTTATTTTATTTATTGTAATTCTTTCTTTAAAAGTCTATATTTTAATTTGTTCTAATCATGCAGACACAGCTTCGAATTCATGCAGAGGAAGATGTAGAGAAGCTGAAATTTCTTCGTATTGTGGTTGCAACGATGATTGTCATGCGAATGGAAGCTGCTGCTTTGATTTTATGAAAATATGCACTGGAAGTAGGTTTAATTTTCTTTAATAGTAAGTTAAGGATATTTTTTATAGTAAATTGGAAGTTCTTAAGTTTTTTAAATATATATATATATATATATATATATATGTAACTGTGAATCACCGAAATCGGTGGTTGTTGATTTCCACCGGTGAATGTTGACAATCACATAGTCGCTTTATATGTTCGAAATATATACTAGGTCTAGTTAAGTGCCACTGCCGGTATACATTTGCTCGGTATGCCCTATATCAATGTTTTTTAATGTTCAGTGCAACTGTCCAGTATGCATTTAACCGGTACTCCGAGTACTGATGTTTGTTCTAATCTATTAATTTAAATATCGAAAAAATGATAATTTGATAATGAAAACGATAATTTTAAGGAATAATTTAATATCAAATCGGATATTACGAATATATCGGACATTCACCAAAGCGATTATATGATTGTTGGCATTCCCCCCCCCGGCGAAAGTCAACTACAATTCGGTCTTCAATATATAGATATATACACAATATTTCTGATTTTCCAGTACTAAATGAAAAAAAAAAAATCTGGTGAAATTATCGCAATCTTTAAAGAAGACTTTTCTGGTAAAAACTTCCTTGTTCTGGTAATAGAACTAAAATATACAGTATCGGAACTATTTATGTGGAAACTATTTGCCGGAAATTCTGGTTTTTAAAATTATTAGTTCTTATTACACACTCATTTAGTGAAAATACAAAATTGAAACGTAAATCAATGTTTTTTATGCCCTTCTCTAAGATATCATTATAGTATTACCAAATTTGATCTCAAATTAGAACATACATCATATTATAATTTTAGCAAACTAATTTGCTGTTAATTTTAGAGAAATAATTAAAAAGTGCTTTGGAGAAAACTACCATATTTTTTGGACATCGCAAAGAGCCTGAAATACGTTAAAGTTTACCATATTCTGGTAGTTTTGACCATTATGCTTTTTTCTCAGTGTAAGATCCTATTTTGATCTTTCAGGATTTCGTGTGAGCTTTAGTATGCAAATAGAAATTATTACAAATAAACAGCGCAAATAGAAATTTAAGTAAAAAAAAAACGTATTCTTAAAAAACATAGAATTTTTTCATAAGTATTTAAGAAACTGACCCTTAAAATACAAGGAGTCTTATACCTTTCTAATATGGCACTAATATTATACTGAAAAGAAAAAAGATTATATTCAAAATTATCAGGATATGATAAAACTTAACTCTGATTCAGGCTGGATATCTGGAACACTAAAATTTGGTAAATGAGGTAAAATTTGGTAATTTTATCATGATACTTCGGCATTATTTTTTAAAAAAATTTATTTCGACAGGTATTGAATTTAAAATAATACTTGAGGAAAATCTGTTTAATGATTAATATATGTTTTCCTTTTCTCTAATTTTATAAGTTAATTTTATATTTATTTTAAATCGAATTATATTTACGTTTTTGTTTTTTGAAATAGAAATTTAAGTTTAAAAAAGAAATCTGGAAGTGAGATATTATAAAACTTAATAAACATTTTGGATATAAAAATAAAAACTAATATCATAGAAAGTAAGATGTTTAAAAAAATTGTGTTTAAAAATTTAAAGACAAAATAAAACACCGAAAGTTTCCCTGAAATTCCCGAGCATTTCAAATTCTCAAATTTAAAATTAGATGAGATACCTATTGAAAAAGAAGTATTTTTTTCTATTCGCATTTTTTCTATTGGATTCGTCTACATCATACCTTCAAAAATACTAAAACAAATCCTGGGAATGATGGGGCAATAAAAAATAATGATTTATCGGGTTTCTATTTTTTAACAAGCATTCGTGAAGCATAAAGCAATTTTAAAGGTTGCTTGAGTAGTTTTGATGTCATATTATAGAGGAAATTGATAAGTGATAATTCTAGAGAAAAATAATAAATTTATAGGGATAAAAAGTATAAAAGCATTAAAAGAATGTTATACGTAGAGTGTCTTAGATGATCAGATAAAAATGATCAACTGTTCTTTTATCATCACAATGTAGGTATCAAAACATCTTAAAACGAATTCCTTTTTACACATATTCATTAATTGAAATTTTATGAATTTTTTCTGCTTGTAGTATTCAATAAGGAAATGAATAAAGCAAATAAAATCAATGAATAAGTATTATATTCATTGCTTATATTAACCTTTAAAAACTTTTTTTCAGATCAATTTCACATCACACTTACTTTAAATTTTTTTTTTTTAATTTCTTGAAAAAATTTACGTTAGAAAAGAACTATGCGCATACCAACAAGTATTTAAGTGTAAAAAATATTTTCAAATTTTATTTTATCTTCAGTTACTACAAGTTAAAATTAAAATTTTGAAGTAAACATAGAATAGTGCTGAATCAACCCTTTTTCTTTTGAAGAGATGCATACTTTCGTACTCACTATTATTAATTATTTTGATGAATCCAATTTTTATTTTGATAATAAAATTAATATTTGACATACATTAATATCAAAAACATTTTGCTTTCGTAACTAGATACATAAAAAACAATATTTATTTGATAAATGTATTAAACCCACTATAATACAAATAATTTTAATTATATTTTTAGACTATGATACTCCGGAAAACGAAAATCCTTCAGAAGAGCAGGCCACAACATTAACTTCATCAACGATAACAACGACGGGCAGTGGTGAAAATGTTGTACCGGAAATAATTGTTACAACCTCATCCTCACTTTCTACAGAATCAGATAGCACAAGTTCTTCATCTGTATCATCCCCGTTCAATTCTACTTCTGGTATAACAACTTCGATAACTACTCCGGTCCCAAAAGAGCATGAATTAATTACTGCCACAAGCTACTACGCAACTACTACGCAATCAACAACCAAAATGACACAACCGGCAACTATAACAACCACAACAATGTCTTCATCTTCAGCACCAAGCACTACAACTACGCCCACAAGTACAACAGCCATTCCTACTACTACCACCACTACCCCTGAGCCTACAACTACTACATCTACGCCTACCCAAACTGCACAAAATATTACTACGATTGCACTTACCACTACTATCACATCTATGGCACCGATAACTCAAAAAGCAAGTACAATACCTACAATTAATAGTACATTTCCCTCAACTTCTAAAACAATCCTAATTACTTTACCTGCAACAAGAACATCTACTGCCGAATCCCTAACTAATGCATCACAGTCAGCTAGTGCAACTATCATAAATTTGCAAAGTAGCACGTTACCAACATCCACTGTTTATATTAACACTAAACCTCCTTTTGAAACTCCTTCAACAACTGCAGCTCCTCCGAAGGAATCTTCCGCATTACCAACCACCATCACCCTACTGCCTTCTACATCAACAAGAAAAACGTACAATTTAAGACCTAGGAATAGAACAGACTTACCAACTACAACTTCCACTTCTAGATCTGTAGTGTGGCCAGTAACTGCAACGCGACAAACTACAAGTATATCTATTCAGCCTAGCAGAAGAACTACTTGGTCTTATAGAACCACTACCAGTACAACTAAACAGCCTTCCAAAAGAACTACTTGGTCTTATAGAACCACAACCAGACCAACTACTTTTAGAAGTAAACCATCGACAAGGTTATCTACTTCAACAGTATCCATTTCAACTGAATTTTCTGTTGAATCAGTGAATGAGCAAGCATCTAAAACTGAATCGGCAGCTATGAGCAGTACTCAGCCTACAATCATAATTATTTTAGTGGTTGGTATTGTCGTTTGTTTCGTTGCTGGTGCTGCTTATGTTATGAGGAAACGTACTCAAAAAAGACAATCTAAACTTTCTGATGACTCTGAAATGAGGTTTCTATCTGAGAGTGATTCTGTAGAATATTCAGATCCAGCAGCTTTAGAAAAGATGCTAATACGTTGACTTTAGTGTGACTTAGATAATTTTGAAAATTTATTTATTTAAAATCAGAACAAAAACTGTAAGTAAAAAAAGCATTTATTTTTATAAACATTTGCATGAAAAAAGAAAAAAAGAGGATTTTTTTTTGAAAACAGATAGAAATAAATAAAAGCATTATCTAGATGTTTTCACGTTTCACTATTATGTGGTTTGATAAAATACTTGGAAATTTTAGAGAAAAATGTCATTAAACAAGAGTTAAGACGTAACTAAGTTTCGTTTCAAAGATATTAATGATAATATGACAGAAAATAAAGGTTTTTTAAATATAAAATTTACTGGCCTATTTTTCTTAATTATAGAAAATTATTGCATTCCAGGTGCCTTGAAAATTACCGACAATATGTTAGAAATAAAAAAAAATAGTGCGTGGAGTCCCTCCGAGCAGAAGAAGTGAAACTTCGTAATGTGGAAATGAAAATAGGAAGGGGAAGAAATTGATTTTTAGTGAAATCATATTGTTTTTTTAAGAAAAACTTTATTAACATTGCTTTCAATTCACAATTGATCGAATCTTTTAATTATCATTTTCGAGTGGAGAAATATCCAAATCTATAACAATCTATATAATGGGATTATGATAACTAAAGTAAGATACGAAATGTTTAAGTTCTATTTTTTCAATATTTCTTGCAAACACTGCATCAATGGTAGTCCCCCCTTTGGTTGTTGGATCATTCCTACCATTTATCATTTCCAATCCAAATTTGTCATTAAGGAAGTTTAATAATGTTTCAGCTTCAGGTAACGAGAACGCAACAGTGCTTTCATTCCCCCTCCATGGTAGCGTTAAACGTTTAACGCAACCTTGTTGGAAGTCGCATTAGAAGTTTCACTTCAATTATTTAAGTGTTTTTTTTTTGACAGGTGGGCGTCATACACAAAGAAATCATTCTAATTTTTTAAAATAAATAAATAGTAAATGTAATGAGCAAATAAAAACTTCTTAATTTGATTTCAAAAATTGTCTTTTTCAAGGATATTTTTTGTTCAAATATTGTACTTTTCAGTTTAATTGAATTAACGTTTTTGTAAGGTACTACTTTCTGTAGTGTCGATACAATAACTCTTTAGAAGTACATGTATAAAGAACTTTATCAATATCGTTATATATATATATATAGTTATA